ACTTTCATAACAAAGACTTTCTCTTATGACAACTATCAACTGATATATCACTTGTAACTGTTCAATATTGCTTTTTAAATGAATAAAATTTGTGCACAATAAATGTAGATACATTTTATTTATTTTTAATTTTGCAAAACGTTTTTACTGAACATTATTTATATAAAGTGATTTGATTAATTGATTTGGTTGTTTAACTGCATATCAACTCCTTATGGGTCATTTATTACTGAAATTTAATTTTCTTGGGAGCTTTGAAGTAATAAAAATATATATGTTATTCTGCTTTCACAGTTGAATGCATGGTAGATGATACTCAGCTTTTATGCATATACATGTTTCTGTGGACATAATTACTAGAGGTATTGATATATGTGTGTTTATGATATATGTTATTCTGCTTTCACAGTTGAATACATGGTAGATGATACTCAGCTTTTTATGCATATACATGTTTCTGTGGACATAATTACTAGAAATAATATAAATATATATGTGTGTTTTATGATATATGTTATTCTGCTTTCACAGTTGAATACATGGTAGATGATACTCAGCTTTTATGCATATACATGTTTCTGTGGACATAATTACTAGAGGCGGTGATATATGTGTGTTTTATGATATATGTTATTCTGCTTTCACAGTTGAATACATGGTAGATGATACTCAGCTTTTGTGCATATACATGTTTCTGCAGAAATGATTACTAGAGACAATGATATATGTGTTTTATGCTATACTTTTGTTGAAGTTTTATTTCAGAATACAGTTTCGATTTCTTTAAGAAATTGTAGGATATTATATGGATTAATGTCATGAAAGAGTTCTTTCATGTTGATTGTTTGGTTAGCAGCATATCAACTTCTTTAATGCCAAAATCTAAATATTCTGAATGCAATTTTATAGCTTCAACTAAATATATTTTGAATGTAGTTGTATGTCTTCAGCTACAGGTAAAATGTATTGCTGGTCATTTTTTTTTTTAATATATTGCTGGTTGTTTTTTCATATAAAAAGTATTGCTGGTAGTTTTACTATAAAAATGTATTTTTAAACTTTCATAGTGTTTTGTTTTGCTATTCAATATTTGCCCATGGCTGGGACCCTAATAGGTGCTACCACCCCGAGTGAGAGTGAACCTGGGAATAACAGCAATTAAGAGATTGTACCGTGCGCCACAAAACCTCTACTCTTCCAATCAGAGGCCTTACTAGCAGATGTAGTTTAAAATATAAAGTGTCATTTAGCCATAAGCCTACAGTTAAATCATGCTGAAAATATGAGTTCTTGTTCAATCACCAAAGTTAAAAAAGGGTTGTTTAATTTTCAGTTAAAAAGTACTTTGATGGGACACCAAATGTAATGAACACCAGATACTTTAAGAAAGCTTCTACAATCTGTAATATGTTTCAGTTTTAAATAACCCACAAAGGGTTGATAAGCTATAAAAATAAATCAATCAATAATTTAGCCATAAGCATCTAATGTATTTCTTTCCAAGTGGCATTATAATATTTACAGTAATGGTAATATGAGCCATTTTCCTACAAGGAAACATGTAGCATTCATTGACTGAGCAGTTGAAATTTATAAAATCTTTCTCTTAAAACAATTTTTCAGGAAAAAGGTCTTCTCAAGTTTGGTAGCTGTTATTGCCCTTTCCAGTATTGATGGAGCTTTCCTTCCTAACCATTTTGTAGTATTGTATGCAAATGAAGTAGACAAATATAAATAGAGAACAACTGGTGAACATAGGGGCAATGCTTAGTGAACCCATTTGCTAAATGTACTATGGACCACTGTGCTACAACTGCTACTACACAGAGAGATATACAAAACGTAACAGTGGCATCACTGATAGGATTGTTAAATTCGCTTGATGACCCAGAATACATAGAAACATGGAGAAGAACTTTTGCTGCATTTGCAAGAGTGAAGAAAATGAAGAGAGACTGAGAACACCATTAAAGAGAAAACAAGAGGAAGGACAGCACAGTACAAGAATATCCAGAAATAGTAAAAGAAAAAACAAGGGTATACAACCTCTCCAATTCAGGGAGGTGTAGTATCGTATGCAAATGAGATAGACAAGTATAAATAGAGAACAACTGATGAACATAGGGGCAATACTTAGTGAACCTGTTTACTAAACATAATGCAGAGAACTGTACTAGGACTGCTACTACACAGAGAGATATACCAAACATAACACTTTTATTTGAAGTAGTTTGGGATGTCAACATCTTCATTATGTAATTTTCTCTACACGTTACATGTGCTATCCATTTTAGTTGTTGCTGCTGTTGGGTGCATACTTTTCTTTTTGGTGTTTTTTTATGTGCTTTTTCTATAAATGTTTTCATGGAAATTGTTCTGACTTTGTTCTAACTTTGCTATATTGTACCTATCACTATTCTTATTCCAGTCACACTTTTTGTGCAAAAATCTTATTCAGAGTTTATGAATTTAAGCAAAGTACTTGATTGGCAACAAGGTCTCATCATTTTACAATTGAATTCACTAGATGTAACTGTAAATTCTTTGCTAAGAGTTTATTTTCTCACATGTGATCTCTCTTCTGTCTCCATGCTTTCCAGCCAAATTTGATCTTCAAAAACTTAAATGCAATGTCAGTCATTATTTATTGTCTTCTCTTATTGTTTACACTCCTTACTAATGCTTTTTTTCTTATTCTTTCACACTCAGTAACCCCTTGTGTCTTAGTGGCTTTATTGCCTTTCTTAAGATTAAATATTTTCAAAAAGTATATATACATCCATAATCTGATATAATTCCTCTGTAAGAGATAAACTTGCAGGTTTTGTATCAGATGTCTGATCATTTACCAGATATGGTCCCAAAGTGAAAGAAACTGAATAATTCATAAGTTTTTATAAGAAAATAAATGCTAGGATGTATCCACCAAAATCTTGAGTACCATACTGACAATACACAGTTCTTGATAATGACTGAGTCATCAAAGGTACTTGAACAAAATCAGACAAAAACAAACGTCAACCAATTTGGCTACAATTTTGATTATAATGTACCTCTAACTCAAAAATTAAAAAAATCAAATAATTAAATCTTGTCTGTTGGATTTAACACAATTTGTTTGTTTATATATATATATATATATATATATATATATATATATATATATATATATATATATATATTCTGCCATTGAAGAGTGAATTCTATTATGAAACAGACTGTCATTCCTCAGTGTTGACATCAGTTTCTACTCTTATATTTACATAAGCTCTATCCCTGATATTTAGCACATAGTTAGATATTAACATCAATGTTAATGATAGTCAAAGATCACTTTTTTCACAATGTCAAGTCTATTGTGAACTTTTGATAACAGTTGAGAAACGTGACTAAATTCCGATTCAACAAGATACGATGTTGGAAAAGCAATAATGTTGAGCTGTGCTTTATCCCAGAGTAAAGGGTACTTTGTAGTAATATCATTTGTTTTCCATATATTGTACTTTCCATCTTGGAATTTTGCACACATTATTTTATCATTTTGTAATTCAATGAGAGTCTCTTGCAAAGATATGTCTATATCAGTAACATTAACTTCAGGATTTGAAACCCAAGTCGGTATATCCATCATGAGTAGGTCACTAAACCGAGTTTGCATATCTTCATGCATATTTTCCAAATATTCACCATATAATGCAAGATCTTCATCTTGCAAATCACTGCTAACAGAGGCCAAACAAAGAAACTGTTCAAATGCATGATACCTGATATTATTCTTATACAGCTGTAGTTTCCCCAGAAAATAATAATAATAATGATAATAAAACCATTCTGAGTTGGTTTTCTTCATGGACCACCAAAATATCATTGTTGACCCCCAGTTTGTTATATTTTACGTGTGGACCTCCAGAAATATTTCATTGACCCCTAGGGCCAATATGGACCCCAGCTGAGAATACCTGATTTAGATTATGTTTAAAAAATAGATTTATTATCTAATAATTAATGTTTACAATTTTTTTTCACCAAAAGGTGACAGACTTATTGATTTAAATACATTTATACAGATTACCACAGAAAGAATGGAATTAATTATCATTGTTACTTTTTGCAGAAGACATTTCTCTCTAATGTCTATTTGTTGTTTTGTTACACAAAAAATTTTTATGTGCAATGTCAGGCTGGCTTGGCATAGTTTTTGATACTCTGAAGCATTCGATGAAAAAAAAAAAAAAAATGAAAAACATCATGAAATTCCAAAGAAATGCAAGAATGGAAAAATTGTGGAAGCCAAATGAACAAGTTCAAAAAAATTTTCCCCCAGTGGCTTCAAGTGATCAATACAAGATATCTAATGTAGACATGGCATGCGTGTTCAGATGCATTGATTTGCAAAGAGTGAAGATGATTGTCTGGGTGGATAGATATGATGAGAAAATTTTGTACGAGGAAAATGTCAAAGGTCATTGTTATGATTTCAGAAACTTTTTTTAATCATTTCACCCAAGCAAGGCAATAAAGCTACTAAGATACAAGTGGTTACAGAGAATTTAAACTTGAAGGCCCACTAGAAATCAGTAACTTTGTGAAAATCTCTTATCATTTCTCTCCAAATCTGCCTGTCTTGTACTAAAGAGAATAGCTGCAGGTCATCAAGGCTCTCCAAAGTGAATGATGGAATTTTAGTGATACTTCTTTTAATATCATTTTTGAATGTATATACTATGATTTATTCATTTTTTATGACTTATCAACCCATTGCAGGTTATTTAAAGACCCAAAATATTTTTTAGATAGTAAGAATTTTTTTTAGATAATAATGATTTAGCAATACAGATCTTACTAATTAACCCATACCTGGGGTGAGACTTGGCGGATTCATGCCTTTCCCAAGTGTATTTGCGCATAAGTGAATATAAGTAAGCCAACAGGAATTGAAACTCAAATCTCTGATTAACATTTGTGTGCTATTATCCATGATACCACACACACATCCAAGGCTACAGCACTTGGTATTCCCAAGCAGTCACCCATCTAGATACTGATCAGGCTCAACGTTGCTTAACTTCAGTGATCGTACAGGAACTAGTGTTTCAAGGTAATATGACTGTAAGCCTACATATATTTTAATTCAATGGAGACCTAAAAACATTTTGACAAAATTAAAAGAAAAAAGGGCAAAAATCTTTAAAAAATTAGTTTGTTTGTTACTGAATAATTTCTGAAAAGTCATCATCATCACCACCACCACCACCATCATGTGAGTTGTTTTGACTTGAAAGCCCACTGCAAATCAGTTTGATTTCTCATCTTCAGAAACTTTGTAAAAAATCTCTTATCAGTTCTCACCAAATCTCCCTGTCTTGTACTAACTCAAGAGAAAAGTTGCAGGTCTTCCAAGCTTTTCAAAGTTTTTCACAGGGAATGATGGCATTTTATTGATAGTTCTTTTAATGTCATTGTTCAAATATATACTATGATTGATTCATTTTCTATGGCTTATCAACCTATTACTAGGAGTAGAGGTTTATCCCTTGTTTCCTGATTAGGACTGGGTTTCTGGTTCCTTCTAAAGTCTTTTCCTTCTCTTCCACTTCTGGTGGCCTGTTGCATTTTGGTGGCATTATCACCTTGCTTGGAATGGTGCCCCTGTAACCCTCTACCTCGAGTGGCTCTTGTGCCTTGTACAGGAGAAACATCATTTTAAAACCTGCTCTGCCATCCATTCACTTAAACTGGTCAGCTAGGATATGCATTCTTTTCCTCTGTTCTTTGTGCCTTCAATCTGTCCTGTGACAATCAAATTTTACCAAACCTTCATTCCTCATTACATGCCATACAAATTTCAGCTGTCTCTTCCTGATATTAAGTATAAGTTCCATTTTTGTTTCCATTGTCTTGAGAATTTTACCGTTGCTCATGTGTTTGGTCCATGGTAGTCTCAGCATCCTTCTGTAGAACCACATTTTTGATGCTTCAAGTCTCTTCTTAGTGATACTAAATTATAAATAAGCTTGACTAAGACTACTCATGAGAAGAAGGTTGATTCAAAATTTAATAACACTATGCTTTCAAATGCAGCTCAATTCATTCAGGTCTGACAACTCTGATTATGATAGACACTCTATGCAGGTAGATATAAATAAGTATACAACTTCATAGATCTGTTTTTGTTTTTTTCACAGATTTGCTTTTGTAATCTCTCTTTCAATCTCAATATAAAAATTCTTTAAAAATAAAAATAAAAATAAGAATTGCTGCTATTAAGGAGGTAATTCAGTAACAAAGTAGCAAACACCTGCATTTTTCAAACAGAGTTTCCAGATCAATAACCAGTTCACACTATCAAGATGTGACTAAGATTATCAGGCTCAAGGCTACAATAGTGAGGAAGTTCAAGAAGATCAAATTCGATAAATAAACACTAGGATGTACAGGTAATGTCAGGGCTGGTGCAAGGATCTTGTGCTCTCCCACAAATTTTTGATATACCCACCACTCTACTACATCTTTAATTTTCATAAGGTAGCATTCATATAAAATATAAATTTTATTATAACCTAATTATCTACAATAATGGATCATCTCTATCTATAAAAGGCAGGATGTGTGTGTGTGTGTGTGTGTGTGTGTGTGTGTGTGTGTGTGTGTGTAACGAATGCACGGCTGTAATTTTTGACCGATTTGCCCCAAAATTTACATGCACATGCTCCAAGTTAGCAGGAAGGCCAAGACCAACTTTGCATTTCCCAACTCCCATCGATAGTGGAAATAATCGATTTTTTCATGCTTCTACAGCAGTTTTCATGTAGTTTGCGGCCATTTTGTAATGGCCAGCGTGAGAGCCAACAGCTGACTGACACGAATGTTAACTAGCATGCTAGCATGCAAAAAAATCGATAGCTGCATTTGTCACAAGTGGGAAAAATTTAAATCTGCATGGCACTTTACTCCAATTGGCTCATTCGCTTGCTTAAACTCAACATTGATTCTGATTCCGCAGAACTGGGTTGGGTGTGAAAAAGTATTTGTTGTTAACATTCTTTTTTCATTCGGTTTTTCCAGTTATGAGTCCTTTTTTAAAGCTGATCATTTTGTGTTCATTTTGTTTAGTTCTTTTTTCATAACAGATTTAATGTTTAGTATATAGCTTAGAAAAAATTTGCAGCGTGAGATAGGCAAGAAGTAAGGCATATAGCAACATGGACACAGCAAAGGGCACTCCTTTAAAGGCAAGGAAGGGCAAAAATATTTTGTCAAGTGATAGCAATTGCTGTATGAGTCGTATGATTTTTGAATCAAGCACGGGCAATGCCGGGCAATGCCGGGCAATGCTGGGCCATGCTGCTAGTATGCAATATAGGTGAACAATTCAAATAGAAAAAAATGAAAATAAATACAATATATCTAAATACAAATTGAAGACATGTCATAATAGATCATTCCATCTTAAAATAAATCAACAATGTTTTATGACAAAATTTTCTTAATTGCTACATTCATTTTGAAGGATTGTCTTTTTTATATGTTTATGTAACTGGTTTTAGTTAATTAACCAAAATACAATCCTTGAAAACAAATTTAGCAACATTTGAATGTACTCAGTAAAAAAAAAATATATAAATATGAACTTTAGTAAATTTTCCAGTTAAATAAAACAACTAAGCCTGGTCAGTAGATGGGAATATCAGGTGCTGTAAGCTTGAATGTGCAGGTGAAGTAATGGATAACTGCTTTGAATGAAAAATCAAATAGTCAAGTTCAAATTCTAGTTGGGTTTATTACATTCATTTACTCTTGAGCAATCATGAATCAAAAAGTGACATGATCACCCCAACATGTCACATCTGCCCCTAAAAAACACACATTGGGTCAGCCCTGTAGGGTAATGGCCCATTCCACCCCATGAATCTGGGGAAGACCTACGTACAATAAATGGACCTTCACAGGTTAAGAAAAAGAAGAATGATGATAACTCTATGACAGATTATTTGTTTGTAAATTGGTTTGTTTATCACAATGATTGATTAATTGATTGATTTGTTTGTTTAATGGTATATCAATTCCTTATGGGTCATTTAAGGTCAAAATTTTATTTTCTTGAGAGCTTTGAAGTAATAAAAATGTTATTCTGGTTTCACAGTTGAATACATGGTAGATGATACTCAGCTTTTGCGCATATACATATTTGTGTAGATATAATTACTAGAGGCAGTGATATATGTGTTTTATGTTGTAATTTTGCTGAAGTTATATTTTGGAATACCGTTTGATTTAAGTAATGGTAGGATATTATATGGATTAATGTTCTTACATGTTGGTTGTTTGGTTGATTTTGTTTAGTGTTATATCAACCTCTATGGGGTATTTAAATATTTTGTACACAATTGTATGCCTTCAGCTACAGATAATATGTATTGTTGGTAATTTTACAATAAATAGGCATTGTTGGTAATTTTTTTTATATATAGAAGTGTATTGCTAGTATTTTTACTATAAAAATGTATTTTTGATACTTTCATATGGTTTTGTTCAGGGTTCACTATTTGCCTGTAGATGGGACCCTAACAGGTGTTACTACTCTGGGTCATGGTGGACTTAGGAACAACAGCAATTAAGAGGTAGTTACACACATTTCAAAACTTCTAATCTCCTGATCAGAGGCCTTGCTGCTGGATGTAGTTTATCATCATACCCAGAACTATTTATTACATTGAGGAGCTATTGTTCAAACTGTTATCACCTAAGAAGGAGAAATTTGAATTAGTTTTATCATAGCTCCACCTATTTTACTTTCCAACTACAAATCCAGGGCTATCTCATTCTTATTAGAGGTATTCCTTCCTAATTGACCATGTTTTGATTGATTTGTTTTTTATGGCATATCAATGTTTTGCAGGTTATTTGAAGCCAAAAAATATTTTTAGATTGTAAGAATTTTGTGGGTGGGGAATAATCATGATTTACTGGTACTAATTAATTTCTAGATAATGACTGGAAAGTCAAAAGTACTTGAAAAAAAAATAAAAAAAATTTAACTTCAGATTGTTTATACACAACTTCAAACATAATACTCAACATCTTATCTGGAAGTTGAAAAAGTATAATAAAATATATGAAAAGACAGACCATGTTGGTTCTTTTTAATCAAACTTGTTTGGAGGAATACTTACTATTCAAATATATATATATATATATATATATATATATATATATATATATATATATATATTTCTTTCATTCAAAGTATGTTTGGTTGAATAACCTAAACAGATTATGTTTATTTTTAATTTAATCCTCTCAAATTCACAGATCAATTTCTTAATGTTGTTACAAAGCTGATTAAGAAAGACACCATAGTTTTGGTTATTTCTTTTATTTTCCTAAGTACTTTCAATCTCATTCAAGATCATCTTCAAGGGTGAATTGCTAAGACAAAAAAATTAATGTAATTGATGGTCGTAAATTTTGTTGTAAATGCACATGAAATGCACTGAGTTATAGTCAATTTAAAAATTAGCATTAAGAATATGTAAGGGAGGTAACTTAATTTATATTTTTTATTATAAATGTTTTAAAATACTCAACCTGAAATTTTTTTTAAAATTTACAATTTGAGCATCCCAAAACATTACTTTAAAAAAAATTGCATGTTGAATATTTTAAAACATTAATAATAAAGAATATAAATAAGAAGCAAGAATTCATTTACACATATTATATTAACGTCAATCAACATATTGTTGATTGACGTTAAGTCTGCTTAATTTTTTAATTTATTTTTAGAATTGCTGAATATGTTATTACATATCAAAATAAAAATTGTGAATAAGCTGCGCATTCGTATTTGAGGATACCCGTCTACTAGGGCAACTAGCCAATCCCTGTTGCAGACACTTGCTCAGGCACATTTGTGTTTATTCAACACCTACAGATTCCACCTGTGGTTTTTACTGCAACTATTCTGAGCGGACCTTAGTTAGTTTCTGGGAAAGAGCATGTTATCGAGCATGATCAACAATTTGAACAAGGCCAGCATGCTCAATCCCTCGTCCACGATGACTTGTGACTTTGTTCTAGCACAGCTATCAATGGCCCTCAAGGGTTCCGTC